GTCCAATAGTTTTTGAGTTAATTCAATATACACAGAAATCCAATAATACAAATTTATTCTCTTTATAATATTAGTATGGATTTACAAAGAATTGTTTTTAAACTAAAATTCCTATAGTTCTTACCTAAATTCGCCAATTTCTTTGTACATTTTGGTTTATTAATTAATTTCAGAGTGATGAAGGAAGGTTTCGCGCAGTTCCACTGGCGGCCGCGCCCGCCCACGCTGCTGTCGGAGAAGCAGCAGAAGGACATTAAGAAGAACCTCAAGAAGTATTACTCGCAGTTTGAATCTAAAGACCGTATGCGTAGCAACAAGGCCAGCAAGGTAACAATCATTTGTAAAAATACTAAATTATTTATTTTCACTTAATTTTTGGTTAGCTAATTATATTTATCAACTAAATCATACTAATGTTATAAAAGCAAAAGTTTAGATGGATCGATATTGGTTAGAGTTTGTAGCCTAAACCGCTGTATCGATTTTGATGAAGTCTGAAAAATCTCATAGGCGACTCACTTATTATTTTAATTTCTACACAAACGGAGTCGCAGGTGAAAACTATTCTTTCCTCTTTCCAAATCTGTCTTGTTTCTAAATTATTCTACATACTATCTTTAGTACGCGACTTCGACCGTAAGAAAAGAACTGTCTGGAAGACTACTAAATCTGTGCCAAATATAATTGAGATCTGTTAATCCATTCTAGATACTTTTTAACAAAAATCTATCCATTTGAACTTTCTTATTTATAATGTTAGCATGATTTATATTACAACTAGTTTTCGCACGCGCCTCCGTCCTCGTGGAAAAAAAAAAGCGAAAGTGAGAGTAGCCTATGTGTTCTTCCAGACTATCCTTTACATCTACACCAAATTTCATCGAAATCCATTCAGCCGTTTAGGCTACAAAATCTCACAAACATCCATCCATCCATCCATCCATGCATCCATCTAAACTTTCACATTTATAATATTAGTATGATTGTACAGTAAGTTTGATATGGTTTACTGCGTTTTTTGGCACAGTTAGACAGTAGTGCAGGCCAGACATGGATTGGATTTCAGTGGCACTTAACATTTGCCTTGTTGAGCGTTATTGTCTAACTGTACTGGTCAAGTGAATCAGGCATGATACTATAGTCTATTTTCAGTCAAATAATATATTCGGGACTTGTATTTCTGAATAAGGAGTATAATTGTAATTACCTATGTTTTTGTTTGTAGGAATTAGTTGCGAAGCGCACGGAGCAGATGAAGAAGCACGTGGAGTACCGCGAGGCCAAGTCTCAGGAGTGGGCCGACCAGCGCCCCCGCCGTCTCGAGCTGCGAGACTGTTAGTATTTCTTTAAACATTTATATTTTGTGAATTTCAATTTAATCCTTATATGCTAACATTGATGTTTTTGACTTGTGTATGCAAGTCATCATCTTTCTTATTATCCTACTTCCGTAGGGCGCAACGGGTTTTTGTCGTCCACATAACTCTATCACACGTCATCTCAGTCATCACTCCCTTTTTGATCATGTCACTTTTTACACAATCCATCCATCTCTTTCTAGGCCTACCTCTACCGATGTACCCTTCCACACTCATAACTAATGTTCTCCTTGTAATATGTGATTTATCCCTCATAACATTCCCCTAACAATTTTGTAATATACCATATTGTGTATGCAAGTGGGCAATGGAAATATTTACTCAAAACTAACAAAAACTATTTCTTACAAATGCTGTCTAACTTAGATCTAGAACTAAAGGCGAAAATACATTTGCCAATAAAATGTTTTCTAGTGATTCCAGTAGTTGATGACTTCTACTAGCTATTACAAAATATTGTACATGTTTGTAGCTTGCATGTGTGCCAGTAACTGGCATGTATATTCCCGCCCTCAGACTCCAATAGTAGAAAACAAATAAAAACATATGTGGCTGAATGTATTAATTCAATATTTTGTTTTCAATCTTCTTGAAAATATAGGATGTGCTTTAATTCTATTGTTATTTTGTTCAAGACGTAGACACGGACGGTCTGGACACGGACCGAGCGAACACTGTGGAGGAAGTGGTAGAATTCTTTGTGAAAGAGGAACAAACCGTCATCGAGTAGTCGCCATACCTCCCCCCACTGAGGTCAGGGTCCCCCTCTGACCTCCCACAGAGCGTTATTAATAAAGAGAAAACATTTTATTAACAGTTTTTTTGTACCAACACCCCGTATTTTTATATTCAGTCACAAACATTTTGTATTCATAATATGTTCAATGTAAGATTTGGGTTTTTAAATTTTACAATAGGTGTTTATAGTCTTATTAAATTGATATGTTTCAAATGGAAAATTGACTTTTAATACCCACTTTATTAGACTAGTCTCACGCAACTTTGAGAATTGTAAAAAACTAGCTGTTGCTCGCGACTTCGTCCGCGTGAAATTGAAATTTGTGAAAAAAATATGGCCTAGATTACTCACTGATAACGTAGCTTTGAATGGCAAAGGATTTTTTGAGTTATTTCAATATATGCAAAAATCCAAAACTAAAGATCCTTCCTCTTTATAATATTAATATTAGTAAAAAACGGAAACTACTAAAAATGTAATAATTTCGTTGGACGGATATTGTACATCCAAAACGGCTTAATGGATCTTGAAAAAATTTGAGACAGGTGGTAAAACATAGTCTATATCTAAAAGAAACCGGTTAAGTTTTTAACTAACTAAGTAGAGTAGTTGAAAAAAACATGCTTTATTAAAAGGAAGTAAATAAGGAAGCTGTCAAATTAATTCGCTGAAATAGCGAAATGGCCGCTGCAAATAGACATCCGCAAACCCGCGTTGGTTACTTTTAATCTACAGAAGAGGGGATAGACAGGATATTTCCGCTTCCTATGACAAAATCAAAACAAACTTTTGAGACACCGTGACCTTGACCGTCATGTTGGTATTACGTTAACTTTTTCTAAACGTTTGCCAAGACGATACCATTCATCTCACTTATAGTTGGCACTGGTCCAATATTAGGTATATTTGGAAACACGTTTGTCATAATAATAACGATTGATTGTTTTAATACACCGCAAAAGAAATAAATCTTGTAGTACGTAGCTGTAAATGTTTTTATCACAATATGGAGATTTCATTTTAAAAGCTTTTTTATATATTAGAAAAAAAAACTATAATAGAAAAAAATCTCTTTCAACTGGACTTTAAAACATCGCTAGTTCGAGTGATTCAAGGAAAGGGTTACGTATCTAAGTAATTCCCATATTAATAAATTTCGATAGTCGTTTAGGAGCACGGGCTAATAGCGAAGAGCTTCAACCAACATCCATTTCACAGTGGTAGAGCCCGCTTTAACATCTTCGCACAAATGGGCCGGCTCGCCCGGTGCAATACCACGACCACACAGAAAACAGGCGTGAAGTGGAAGCAATTCCGCGTTTCGTCTGATGAGTGTGGTGCCGGAGGCCTAATTTTAGTCCCTTTCCACCCTTTTCTTGAGAGGAAAGGATGGGAAGGAAAAGTGGATTTGACGATGGAGGAGACGCGTAGGAACGGAAAATTTCCTCTTTATGTGCGTCTCCTCCTCCGTCAATTAATGGAAGGCAACGCATCTGCTATTGCGGATGTTTATGGGCAGCGGTCGCTTTCCATTTCGGTGGATTCAGGTGGCCGCTTGCTCGTTTGCCACCATATATTATAAAAAAAAGCCTTCGCTAGAGATTTGGATTATGGGCGTGATTCAAAAAGCAGTTATTTTAGAAGTTAGTTCCTGTCTGCAGCCTGGTTTCTTGAGTCATCGGATTCCACAGCCGTTGGTGGTCTATTTTTTTTATAATATGTTTTATTGTTTTATACAAATCATTTAAAACATATTATATACAAAATAAGGAATAAAGATATATGAGGAATATTAAACAAAAATAATAACGTTGATCAGTAATCATTAGGCAGATTAATTGAATGATTGGAGTCACAAATGAAACAGGCACGCGACGCGATACTGTCGACGTAACGAAGGCTTATGTAAAACGTTGTGGTCATTTTGTATCGAGGATTAAGGACGGGTCAGTAAAGAGGACACCAAAATGAGATTTTCAACGCAATGGAAGATAATATATGTGTTATGATAGACTTAAAGAGAAAGGGAACTTCGTTTAAATAATAAATATAGTTTTAAGACTACGAATTACAAAATATTTTTCAAAACAGTGTGAAAATAAATGAAGATTCATCATAGATGAATGGAAATTATTTTACTTTATTCCCTTTTTGTCGTAGTTTGAATATTATTGAGAGAGTATTATATCTGGCTGTATGAGAAAGGTTAAATTGAAAGCTTTATTTGCTTAAACATGGTTTTTATATTTACATTTAAAAAGATGTTTCGTTTTACGCAACATGGAGCAGTTTCCGCGTCTTTGTACAAATGAAAAGATAATAAGATTTCAGCGAGATATTTTAGCATTATTACATTATGATAAACATAGCCGATTTCGTTATAAGAACGTCTAGAAATTGCTTCAGAGGTTAACAGATTAGATGTGTCGATAGCTCAGCGGTTATTTTGCTTATTGATAGCGTGAGTTTGATTCTTAGCTTAAAAAATACATAAAAAGAAATTCTCTGATTGGTATTGAAAAAAGATATAGAAAGAAAACAAATTAATTCAATTTATCCATTAATAAATAAATATTCGTTTACTCCCAACCTTTTCAATTTAGGTTCAACTTACAGTAATGAGTTTTCTAACCAAAAAGGTGTTTATTAGTTATAGTTTAGTATAAAAATTATAATTTCAGTTAGTATGAACGCGCATGACCGTGGCGTCGACACTATACAAACGCAACGTTCTTCAGTCCGTCTGAAAAACTGTTCCGAGCACACGTCCGGGAATTTCAAAACGCGTCCGTTCTTAACTAATCTTTGATTTATTACGATTCATTTTTTTAAAACTATAAAGTATTAAAAAGTTGAAGTTAGTGTTTAAATTAATTCGAATTGTTGTGTTCCATTTTTAAAAACGTGTAGATTTTATTTTTTTGTTTGTTTTTAAGTGTATCGGTTTTTAATTCGGTGTTTAAATTTTGCAGCGCCAAAAACCGGTAAGTTTTTTTTTTATTTACTCATGAAAGTTAATTGCTTAAAGTAATTAATTCCAATTACATCATTTTAATTTACTAAATTGTTACGGTCCGTTTGTTATTTAGTCTACACTAAAATTCCTGGATTATATTGCGTAAGGCGTAATAAAATAAAAACGTATTTCAAATGGTTAAATTAAATCAAAAGAAAATGTTTATGTAATTGAGGTTAGTAAAATTTATTTGCGTTTTATTTTTCTATGCAATTATTAAGCAGTGAACTAGGCACCTAATTTTCCTAGGTTTGAATGTAGGAATTGCGTTACTACGCGTAGACATAACGACTGAACTATAGAGTCCAAAAATGATTTATTATTAAAACTTTCATTAATTTAACTTTAATTGCAAGTGTATCGTATTTTTAAAATCAACAATGACAATGGTCTACGCAGTAGTAGACGATTGTTCTCCGCAAAATGCGCATTTTCTCTTACGGGATACAGTTATATCAAATGTATTTAGATTTGGAATAATAATGTCATTAATAAAATCAAAAGAAAAGTGTGAACGATTTTTATAATCTAAGTTTAATTTTGTTATTGCGGTGTTCTCTATCTTTTAATTTTTCTTCTCATTTTCTTATTATTGCACTATAGTTTCCTAATCTAATTGTATTAGAAAGAAACGTTTCAGATTGGCCTGTAGTCCTTGACAAGTGTCAGGTCGCAGAGTAAATTTATTTTCATTACCCGTTGGCTAACGGCACGTAACCCCTATCACGGCGACACATCTCAAATTACAAATATAAAAGCCATTCTATCTTAAAGATATTTCGTATATTTTGTTCTAAAAACTAAAAGAATTTTCTGCTTGTTGACTAGAAGTATCACAGGCAATTAAAAAAAAATATTTATCTGTTAATCGCAACTCTGATTGCGGGGATTTAAAAATAAAAATACGTAGTCTTTGCGTTCGTCCAAACTACGCTCTACACTTATGCCGTACAGATGTTTAGTTACATTCTAACAAACATTCATCCAAACATAACTTGCATTTATAATGTTGGTAATATACACTATCGTGTAAACCAAATGGTTTAACAGATTAGTAAGGTATTGAAGATAGTACATTAGATTTATATTTAATCTAACAATTAGTGGTTTTTCTAACTCATGAAATTGATTCGTCCATCAATTATTTACTAATTGAGAAGGTTGAGTTTCTAAGATAACTCTTTTTAAAAGATATTTCCATGTAAATACACCTTTATTTCATTTTTAAATACTACAATGTGCGAAGTTATGCGTTGGGCTTGCGGTTAGGTCGAGGTTTGGTCTGTCATTCCAACTGGCATAAACCGATAACTTTTAGTTTTGCACCAAAATCTTAAATAAAATTTTATAAAGTCCATCCCTATTTCTAAATTTCGTCCAACTTAGATTTACAAATCTGTCAGTGCTCTTTTTACTCTAGTTATGTTATTGTGGTGCTGAGAAAATAAGCAACCATCTTTTGTTTTCTGTTTTTTTTTACAAATACTGAGACAAATCACATCGTCATAAGCTGCGTAAGCGGCGGTTACAATACAACGGCAAAATTTTATTAGGGCTTGGTGTGCGGTGCGGTGCCTTGGTGTGGTGGTCTTATCATTTGACGATGTTACATAGTGATGAAACTTTACTATGTTGTAGTACAAAATATCATTCATCGGTCAAAGAGTTAATTTGAGGATGAAAAATCTTATTTGAGGTTATACTTAGGTCTAGTTCTAACCTTGGGAAGTGTAGTGAGCTAGAGATGTTGATGTTTAGATACGCTTTTGTTTATTTAAAATACAATTACAACTTCCTAAATTGTCAATCAGTGAAATTAGCGAAGACGCAAGTTCGCAAAGTAATTAATCATTTAGTTACTTGTTCCTTCGTAACTCGATTCTATAACAAACACGGAGTCTAAGCTGCGGCTGTGAGGATTATAGACGTTACGTACAAATATATTGTTTACTGCCCTTGTTATTGGAACAAATGTTTGTAACCTAAATAATGTGAGATTTCTTGTATTAACAGTGATATCTTATTTATAAAAAAATTCGTGTCAAATCGCTACATAGTATAAAACAAAGTTCCCGAAGTCTGTCTCTATTAATGCTTAGGATTTTTAAACTACCTACAGATTTAGATGCAGTTTTTAATAGATTGATTCAAGAAAGGTTTATATGTACTTTACTTGTATAATTTTAATTTTTATAAAGAGTCTGTATTTTTGTGTTGTAAAAATATAAAATTGAAGATATATATAAAACACAAGCTTTCGCCCGCGACTCCGTCGGCGTGGAATTAAAAAAAAAAACAAAACTGAGTAACCTATGTGTTCTTCCAGACTATCCTTTACGTCTATGCCAAATTTCATCGAAATCCGTTCAGCCGTTTAGGCTACAAACTCTAACAAATATCCATCCATCCATCTAAACTTTCGTTTTTATAATATTAGTATGATAGTATGATTAGTATGATTAGCTATCTCCGGCGACACAAAAGAAACAAAAGTGTTTGCGTAAATAATTCAATACTATAATATATGCCAAATTTCATAGATACCTGTTCAGCAGTTTAGGCTACAAACTATAACATCTAGCCATAAAAAGTATCGCATTTATAACGCTAGTAAAATGTATCATAGTTTTTATATGAAAATAAAATTATCCTGACCTCGATTATTGAACCAAGTGTATTTGCATTGCTTATGCGGTTGATATCGTAGTACAAAGGTATAATAAAAATAATACAAAAATACTCTCATCTCTATTTTTGCATAGACAATGAGAGAGAGGATAATATGTTTATATACAATGGAAACTCAAGATAACATTTGGACATTTGTACATTCTAGTGTAGTGAGTATATGACTAGGATAAGCCGATCTTTGAGATTGTCAACATATTAGACTAAGTGCAGGTCAAGGCAAACCGTACCGATATTTTAGTCATAAAATTATGGAACAATGTAAATAAAACAGTAATCTCGAAATGTAGACTGTACATTAACATCGGAATTATGTAGATTGCCGTATTATTTTTACAGAAAAACATTGCATTTATCATGTAATACTTGAAAAAAATGTTATGACGTTATTTAGACGATTTTAAACACCATATTAAACGCCACAGAATCTATTTTCTTTTGTTAGATTCATTTTCAGTTTGGTATTTTACAAGCGAGATAGCCCGCAATTTGATTACCATAGATTATAAACATTCTAGAATAGACATGACATGTTAAAATTCATGGGTTTAACCGTTAGCAATCCTTCATGTGACCTGGCTTATTGCCTATTCATTAGATTTATTCAGAGAGCTCTATCTGTAACTATGTGGTAAAAATTTAAAATTATTACAATGTATACTGCTGCCGCAATATTACCGATAGAGGTCGAATAAAGGTGACTCCACAACCCTTCAACTATTTATCCATAGGTTAACACTACACATGAAAAGATGTCGCCATCTCTTTCGTTCTCTCTGAGGAAACTGAGACAGGAATACATATTTGCGTGGATACTTCGACAGTGTGAACGCACGGTTATATTTAAATTTTCATATGCAAAGCGGCTGTCGTCTTGATTATCCGACGTTATCATGCATCTCGTATTTTTCACGAACATTCTAATGCTGTTATAAATTGCTTTTTGATATCTCAATAGAATTTTAAAAATTACGTTAAGAATATTTTGACTTTACGTAAGTTTTTTTACTCTGTGTAAGAGTTGAAGTAAAGTTTGGATGGTTTATGCAAGAACCAATCAAGTTAATGATTGTTATATGTTAAGTGTCCATTAATGTCGATCTTTTTATCAACGGTCTTGAATTTAAAAACAAACAAATAAAAACGTGTTATTACATAAATTAAACTAAAAGTAGGAACCGATTTATCATATTTTCATACTAATATTATAAATGCGAAAGTTTAGATGGCTGGATGGATGGAAGTTTGTTAGAGCTTGTAGCCTAAACGGCTGAACGAATTTCGATAAAATTTTGCAAAGATGTAGAGTATAGTCTGGAAGAACACATAGGATACTCACTTTTGTTTTTTTTTTTAAATTACACTGCGGACGGAGTCGCGGGTGAAAGCTAGCATATTATAATCGTAGGAAAGTTTTGAAATTTTTGATTGCGCTAATCTTAAAAAATACAAATTTGTTTTGAAATACACTTTTTAATATCAAAAGCCTAATAAATAGGCATTGTTAATGTTATCTTTACGTTAAAGGATGGTTAAGATGAAATCGTAAGACACAACTAGTTAAGTGCCAGTACCGTAGTCCTTTCGTAGAACTTAAAAGTTGTTTTAACTCGATTTAAATCATAATTAAATCAATTCAGACGATGCTAAGATTCCATTCCTCAATGCTGTAAATTTATGTACCTATTTAACAGAATAAATAACAAGTTTGTATACTTTGTATATTAAAATAAACCAATTACAAAGTTTTGGTTCGTTATCAACACAAAATGGAAACAAACAAAATTTAGTTGAACGCGATGACGTAATTAAAACATACGATTTAATGCGTTAGAAAATACGAGGCTTCATACTAATTAACTGGAAACTATACGCAGAAATATTATTGGTTATTTTACGTTATCTTACTTCTTACTAATATTACAAATGCGAAAGTTTAGATGGATGAATGTTTGTAAGACTTTGTAGCCTAAACGGCTGAATGGATCTCGATGAAAATCAGCATAGACGTAGAGGATAGTATGTAAGAACACATAGGATACTTTTGTTTTTTATTAAACGCGGGCGGAGTCGCGGGCGAAAGCTAATAAATCATAATATTTGATAGTTTGTCACACGGAACACCAATGCACAACTAACTGTATAGTGTATTCTTATTTCACTTATTTAGTAGTAGTTTTATAGTTTACCAGTTTTTTTTTGTTGAGATCCATTTCGGTCCATTAATATTGATAGTGCCGGCTTTAATATCTTCGCACGAATGGGTCTGCTCGCCCGGTG